TCACAACTAGATTAAGCATTTGTTCTTTGAGGAAAGGCTATCTTAGAAATCTTGAACTTCAGTGACCACAATGGACAACAAAAGAAATCATTTGAAATCCCATAAGTAAAAATTTGACTTAAAAAATAACTATCATCATCTCAAATTCATTTTAACTGCATGTTCTTAGGGCAGATGGGTACACAACCCGACCTTTTGCAATACACCTAAGCAGAACAGGCTAGAAGAAATGCACTCCCTCTTCGGGTGGATGCGATGGCCCCCATGGACTCACAGCGAGCTGATGGAAGTGTGTCACTGGGGGCTGGCTTTGAGGTTTCCACCGCTCCAGCCAGGCCCAAGGTGGCATTCTCTTCCTGCCACCTGCCAATCCAGACATAGGGCTCTCAGCTCCTCCAGCTCCATGTCTGTCTGCTGTGCCATGCTTCCTGCCATGACGATAAAGGACTGAACCTCTGAAACTGTCAGCCAGCTCTGATTAAATGCTTTCCTCTGGTCATGGTGTCTCTTCACAGCAATAGGAATCCCATCTAAAGCAGTTTAAAGTGTTCTTTACTAAACTTCTGTATCTACAGGATAAATCTACAGGATTTTACAGTTCAAGTTTTAAATCAAATGATATCAACCAGCTTTTTAAAAAAAAAAGTGTGCCGAAGGAGCCTGAATCTGTAAGGTGTAATGGAGAGACGCGAGCAATCGGAGCACCAAGAGACCTAGGACTGAACACTATACTTTCATTTTAACCCTACTTAAAATTAAACTGGCTCCAGCTAAATGGTGCTCCACTCAAAATGTAATCAATGAGAACAGCTCCCCAGGACAGGAACCAGACTGCCGATGTCCCGATTTTAGTCTAGCCAAACCCGCTTTGGACACCCAGCTGCCAAGACTGCTACGGTCCTACTGTCTAAAGCTACTGGGTATTTGGCGATGTGTTACATCAGCAGAGGGAAACTGGCACCCCAGGACGCTGTCCATCACACTCTGCCACTCTTCTCCAGCAAACCAAGCAGCGTCTGGCACAGCGGGCACCTGCCAGCCGCTGAGTCAGTCAGCAGTGTACACACAACAGTCCTGGCAATGGAGTGACCCAGAGCAAAGGTAAGGAAGCTCAAAAGTATGAGACTCAAAGTGAACGTCAACAGAAACATGTGGCGCCCTACAATGTGCTGTGTCCACAGGGAGACCGACGTTGCGCTGGGCATGCTTTGTGCACATTAAATCCCACCAAATCCACGCCAGATGTCACTTAAGGTATGACAGGCTATGGCATTAAATCTGCCCAAGCTGGTGAGATCAATCAAGTCACCTGCCACCAAGCTCAACTTAAGTTTAATCCCTGGCACCCACATAACAGAAAGAGAACCAGTTCCCAAAAGTTGTCCTCTGACCTCCAAATGACCATGTGTATCAAATAAATTAACTAATTACTTAAAATGTTTTTTAAAAAAAATATGGGGGAAACTTGCCCAGTGGTGCAGTCAGTAAAAGTGCTTGCTGGACAAACCTCACCATGACCAAGTTCAATCCCCAGATCACACACATGAAAAAAAAAACACTTTCAAAAGTTGTCCTTTTGTGGTGGCACACGCCTTTAATCTCAGCACTCGGGAGGCGAGGCAGGTGGAGTTCTGTGAGTCTGAGGTCTGCCTGGTCTACAGAGTGAGACCCCGTCTCAAAAAATTCAAAATAAATAAATAAATAGAAAATAGGAAGAGGTTGTCCTCTGACTTCATACATGCAAGCATTACAAGCATGTGCACACACATACAAGCATGTATACACACATACAAGCATTACAGGCATGTGCACACCCGCGCACACACACACCACTCAAACACATCTTTCTTTTCATCTCTTACTTTTCCCAATACATCATATCTAGTAACTCTATTTAATCCCATACATTTTTCTAATTTAACCCTGTGTGTATGTGCACCACACATACCTGGTGCCAGAGTTCAAACTGTAAAACAAAACCCACACAATTAGAAGAGTCAGGCCCCTTCTAATGAACCTTGACAAGCAGATTCGCGATTCAGTTCATTTCTGTGACTGAATTCATCTCCTATTGCTCAATGCTCTTTCTAAGGTCCCTGGTTTAATCCGAAATAGTGCAACAAACTGCAAAATTACAACTAGCGAAAGCACAAGCCAGAGGCCAAGTTCACCTATGTAGAAACACCATCCCACCCGCTGACCAGAAAATTAAGCTCTCCCCAAGCCTCTTTATTTTCTAGCGTGGTTTTAAGCCGTCTCTACAAGTCAGAACACAACCAGGCAAAGGCGTTCAACAAAGCAGTCGGCTGCGTAAGGAACTGAGTCATGTCTTGTAACCCAGCTGCATCTTCTCTTCCCACAGCAGATGGCCTGAAACCCCGGGGCTTTGGCTGGGAGACCCCAGGATGAGGACCAGCAAGACCAAATGATGCTGACCTTCACCTTGAAGGGTGGCCAGTGCTGGAAGGGTGAGCACTTCAGGTCTGAAAACGTGGAAACAGCTATTACAGGAAGCGATCTCTTTTCATTCCCAAGGGGCGTGTTTTCTCCTCAATTCTCTCTACATTACCAGTGTGATGGGAAAAACTTTCTCCACACCAAGATCCCATCCCTCCTCTCAAGTTTGGTATCATTTAGACTTTGGATCTCCCTCCCCTGTACTATCTTAGATCCAGGAGGAAAATTTACTGTTACTATTAAGCATAGCAAAAACACCACTAACCACACCAGTGGCAAAATTTTCCACCACCAAAGACTTACATTCATAAAATGGTAAGAAACCACTCAGGCCACGTCTGCTGCCTCTTCTGGAACTATTTTAATAACCCCAATTTTCTACACTGATCACCAAACAAACCAAACAATACAGACAGACAGACAGACACACCACTGATGCTGAGGACAGAAGCTGAGGCAGCACTCATGCTAAGAAAGCACTCGACCAGTGAACTATATTCCCAGTTGTCCTGGGATTTACGTTCTTCAAGACAGGGTTTTTCTGTGTAGCTTTGGAGCCTGTCCTGGAACTCACTTTGTAGACCAGGCTGGCTTTGAACTCACAAAGATCCACCTGCCTCTGCCTCCCAAGTGCTGGGATTAAAGGCGTACGCCACCACCGCCTGGCCCGTAATTTACAGTCTTAAAACTGCAAAGCACCAAAGAAAGAAAGAAAGAAAAAGCATGCAATATCCAGAGTACTGCTTCCTCTGACAGCATCTTCCAGAAGCAAAAGGCAATACTGCCAGCAGGACTCCTCAGATCAGCAGCTGGCTCCATCTAACTTAGGCCCACAAGAAACTGGGTGTTTGTGGCATAAGCCCTAGGGGTGGATGGAAAATTCACAAACCTTGCTATACAGGCCCAGATACAGAGCAAAACCCTTCAGGTTTTTTTTTTTTAATATTTATGTGCATGAGTGTGCTACTTGTACGGCAGTGCCTGCATGACAGAGCCTGCCAGAGAGGAGAGAGCACTGGGTCCATTACACGGGACTGTGAGCACCATGTGGTTGTGGGAATTAAACTAAAGACCTCTGGAAGAGCAGCTGGTGCTCCTCACCATTGAGCCACCTTTCCAGCAACCCCTCCACTTTTTAATCAAGATTATTTGGGACGTGCACCCCAAGTTGTTACGTGACAAACCAGCGCCGAGTCTAAAGGACACTGTGTAGAAATCAGAGTGGTGAATTAGCCAAAGATAAAGGCCACCGGGTGTGATAAAAATATCGTCTACCTCTGAGAAGACTGGAATGGCGGCTACCATTCCTGCCCAGTTTAGCACTCAAGCAGAAAAGTTTTCTATGAATCTGCACGTCCTCTCCTGACTTGCCAGTCACACACACTCGACCTTGTTGTCTTACCCAGAATGCCTTCTCGAAGCGAGGAGGTGGATATGCACATGGGTAATCCCAGCTGGGAGGCAGGTGCAGGTGATCTGTGAGCGCCAGGACAGGCAGATCTACAAAGCGAGACCCTGTCTCAAAACAACAAAAACAAAAATCCCAGAATGCCTTGGTTGCTTGAGTCTAACATCACACACACACACACACACACACACACACACACACACACACACACACTCCACATTTTATTAAGTTCATTCAGAAAAGAAACTGGAATATGGAGATCTACTTTCTGAAAGGAAGCATGTCACCTATGTTTTTCAGTCTCAACACTGCCCAACCACTGACCCACACTGTTTTTTTTTCTGGTTCTTTTTTCTCACCCTCTCCCCGCTTGGTAAAAAGCCCCCTTCAGCCCCCTTACAGGACCCTGGGTTCACCAGGACAGAGAAAGCAGTTCAGTATCAGGGAGACCCGGTTTTTGTTTTTAGCAAGTCGGCTAATACCTTCCAGGAGACTCAAGAGCTTACTAAAAGTATCGTGTGAATTTGAAGAACTTCCCGTAAGATCACAGCCTTATAAGTTATCAAGAAAAATACACTGCACAGCAGACAACTGAAAATAGTTTACTAGGGCATATGCTTCTGTTCAGGTTCTATTTTAAGAGCGTCAATGCAAGATGGAGTCACGCACTACAAACAAAAATCTTTAATATGGGTTTTTGATCATGGCCTCTGAAATTTCAAAAGTGGAGACAATATTTTTCCAGTCCTGTAAACTCAAAGATATAACTCCTTGCTTCCTGCCGAAGGAGCAGCAGTCACTTTCTTCCTCCCCATGGCTGACGTTAGTGGGCTCCAAGATGGGCAGCCTATCTTGGTCAAGCCGGATTCTAGCGAAGCCATCCCGGATGATAAAAGACACGTAGAAGATGTTCTCCACGGTGCGGGAGAACGAGTTCGGGTCGATCACAAACTCGAAGTAGGACACTGGAGTATCGGGATACTTTTGAAAGTAGGTTTGCAGCAACCCCAAGATTCTTTCTACTTCCTTTTCTGTCGTTTCCTGGTTGGCATGCACGTCCAGCTTCCTCAACTTCGTAGGCATATCTCCATTCCCTTCCATTTTGCAAGCTCTCTTGTGATATTCAAGCCGGGGCTTTCGCGCGGAACGTTCTGCCTTAAATGAGCCAAAAACGAAGTGGAATGTTTCAGCCCGCAGCATCCAAGAGGTTGCCTCCTTCTGCACCATCCCCCAGAAGGAGAGCACTATGCTGTCGTCGCAGTCGCTCAACTCCTCACGCTGGTCCTCCACCCAGTTCAGGCCCACAAAGACCAGCAGCAAGTCACAGAACGCGACGTGATTAAAAAAGCTCATGTCAGAGTTTAACTGCTTTGCTTTCTCTTTACCCAGATCAGAAGCCAGAACCAGGAACTGGGCGTCAAGGGCCGCCTCTCTGGTTCTGCTCACGCCATCGAAGAGCACGTTGGCTTCCTCCAGGGCCTCAGTCAGTGAGTCGCTGGCTGTGTTCACGATGTCCTCGCGGTTCTGCTGCACACTGTAGATGAGCTGCCGGTACTGCCTGCGGATGCTGCGGCATTTCTCTCGGTCCACCGTCAGCTCCAGGAGGTCCGGGTGCACGCTCAGGTCGTCGGAGCAGCAGTCCTGGCCCTCCTCCTCCTCCTCCTTCTTCAGCACCTCCTCCTCCCCCTGCTTCACCAGGCGCCGCCAAGCCAGGCTTCTGACCTGCTCCTCTCCTTTCTCTTTGCCTCCAATCAGGGAATCATCTCCTTTAGACATGCTGGTGACCACGCAGGCTAACAGCTCTCCCTCCGAGGGCTACCTACCGACGGTGACCACTGCGGCGATGGCAATTGAAGATCTTGAAGATCGTTGGAATGGCAGCCCCTGCGCATGCGGCCCCGCCCCCAGCCCACCCCGTGACCACTCCCCCAGCTCAGGCCCCAACGGCAGCCCTGGTGTGGCCTCACCCCAGCCTTCTTTTTAAGCTATTCTAATTCACGCACCATTGGGTGAGGACTATTGTGTCACACAAAAGCGATCTCAGAGGCCGCTCCACTCAAGGGTGGAAGGGCAGTGGGCAGGATTATGGAAGCCTGCCAAAGGCTAAAGAAAGGCTTTTATACTCTATGAGGTGGTTAACCTGAATCCCAGACAACCTACGAAGATTTTTAAACCGCATCCGGGTTATCATCCACTGGGTGAATTATCTGCTTCGGAAAACCCACACACCAGCTCACTGGAGACCCATCGGGCAGTTAAAGTGGCTCAGGTTATCAGGACATATCGATGTAACAACCTAAGGAGCATTGTGCTCCTAACGACCACTCAACACCACAGAAAGCTTGACTGGGGACTGTACACTGGGTCAGTCCAGAGTCCGCGGAATAAGCAACTGTTAGGCCCCTTTTTCTTTTGGTTTACCTAAACCTTGGGGAGGGGACAGGGAGACAGGTAGGACAAGCAAGATTCTTTGCGATGAAGAGGGAAAGAACATCTATGGCTATGCTAAATCATTCCAAAGGGCAATAATTTATTTTACCCAGGAGCAACTCAGAAACACTCAGGGTGGGCACGGTGACACAAACCTTTAATCTAGCACACACACACACACACACACACACACAGAGAGAGAGAGAGAGAGAGAGAGAGAGAGAGAGGCAAAGGCAGACAGCTCTCTGGGTTCAGGACCACCCTGAACACCTTAACCACAGGGTAAGTTCTAGGATAGCCAGGGCTACACAGGGAAACCCTGTCTTGAAAAACCAAAAGGACAAACTTTTCCTTAAATTAGAAAAAAGTGCTATTTTGTATGTATGAGCATTTTGCTACACGTATGTATGTGCACCATAGACATTCCTGGTGCCTGAGTAGGTCGGAAGAGGGCTCAAATCCTGTGCTTCCCAAGGAATAAGCGCTAACTTCTAGCCCTAGGAGTCCAAGTCATCCTGTGAGACCTTGTCTCAAAAAAAAAAAAAAAAAAGACAGGAAGGTGGGCTAGAAAAATCACTAGCATATACAAAACATACTTCCTTGGAGGCGGAGGGATGTCTCGGGGTTTGAGAGCCTTCCCAGCACCCGCATGGGGTCACTCACAACCACTGCCGGGAACTCCAGCTCCTGAACTCTTTTCCAGCCTGGCCTGGCACATGTGTGTGGCGGACAGACTGCATGGCTTGACATGACCACTGCCGCTTGAGAAAGTTCCCGCACTTCAACACTGCGGACCAAGCTCTCCAGCACCGCACCTCCATTTCTAATGGGTTCTTGCGCCCTTTCCTTTGGGAAATTCGGGTGCGTGTTGGGGAAAGAAGACAATATACACAGCGGCAGTCTCTTTAAACAAAATTCTTTGGAAAAAAAAATCCCCGCCACTCCCTCCCCCTCATTACACCAGGAATAGGGAAATTAAAGATTTACTAACTGGGCACATCAGGTCCCAGAGATGAAAAACACACCCAAGAGAAACAATGGGTCCAGACCCAAGGCCCAAGGCCACTTAGGTAAGGGTTCAGTTAGTGAGTACAGAATAGTGTCCACGATTAGGGGCTTACGGGATGAGTGGCAAGATCCGGTCTGCCCTCTGGGGTAAGAAGTTAGACTGGCTTGACCCCCCTCTGCCATACACGGGAGTACACGCTGGTGGCATCAGAAGGGCAATGGAAACAGAGTAAGATGTGAGGAGCGTCCCTTGGGGGAACGGGCCTGTAGTGAGGAAACACAAACTACGTCACGCCCTCTGGAGAACGGAAATTGCTCTTATGGGCTTGTTTCTCAGGTGTCTGACTCCTTCACACACAGACTCCACACCTTCTCTATGGGACCTGAACCCCGCTGGAGCTGGACTCTCCAGCACATGTGTACACACACACACACACACACACACACACACTTTTAAAATTAAACTTTAAAAAAAGACAAACCACTGAAAGTGGACACTAACTTGTCCTCTGAACTCCACACATGACCATGGTACCTATGCCTATAAAGGTATGTACTCTGAACTCCACATATGATCATGGTACCCATGCCTACACACATGATACACACACCATAATGCTAATTTTTAAAAATATTCCTAATGGACTGGAGGGGCTGGAGATGCGGTTCAGAGGTTAAGAGCAATTGCAGGTCTTCCAGAGGACTGAGGCTCACAATGGCCTGTCCACCTCAGGGATCCTACCCTACTTGGTATCAGCTTAGACAGGTGGCTAAACCTTCAACCCACCACCATCCATCATTTGTGAGTGTGTTTAACTAGAGTCGGTACTGACTACGAGTCCAACGCATCTCAAAGACACTTTCACACACAAAGCCGTCACTTCCTTCCCACTGTCTTAGGAAAAGAACAATGTTTTTGGGCTGAGAGCGCAGGGCATTTGTCCTTGTTGATTGTACGACGCCCTGGGACTGACCCTGAGCACTGGGTATTGGGGTGCACACCTGTAATCCTAGTACTTGGGAGGTGGAGGCAGGAGGAGCAAATTAAAGTCATCTCCAGCTGCTGAGCCAGTCTGAGACCAGCTACAGATACTTGAGACCCTGACTCAAAAAAAAAAAAAAAAAAAAAAGGACAACCACTTTTCGAGGTTCAGAAGTCAGTGAGGGGTGAACATTAAGCATATTGCACGGTAGAGAATATCAATCAGTAGGAAGAAAAAAATCGCTGAAAAAAATTGAAAGAAAAAAAAGAAAACCCACTAAGATTTCAACGAACGAAAACTATGTTTAGAACCCTGAAGAGAGGCTGGAGAGGTGGCCCGGATGCTAAGAGCACTGGCTGCTTCTTCTGGAGATCTGGTGCTGCCCTCTTCTGGCACACAGGCGTCCATACAGGCAAAACACTGTATTCTGTGCACATAATTTTGTTGGTGGTGGTGGTTTTTTGAGACAGGGTTTCTCTGTAGCTTTGGAGCCTGTCCTGGAACTAGCTCTTGTAGACCAGGTTGGCCTCGAACTCACAGAGATCTGCCTGCCTCTGCCTCCCGAGTGTTGGGATTAAAGGAGTGTGCTGCCACCACCACCCAGCATAATAAATAAAATCTTTAAAAAAAAAAAAAAGGGAGAACCCTAAAGAGCAAAACTCCTGACAGCTGTTCCAGGGCAGGGTCACAAGGAGGCTGGTCTGCACGCTCAAGAGTGAGTCCCTGAGAAGTACAGTGCCCCCAAAGGGACTCTGAGTAACTATTCTTTCAAATAAAATGGGCTGTGTTATTTTACAGTACTGGAGACGGAACCCCGAGCCTCACACCTACTATCACACAGGCTACTGAAAAGCCGCACATTCCCAGACACAAGGTAGCAGTGCGCTCACAAAAGACAAAACGCAAGCCAAGTCACACTAAACACCTCGCGCCTAGACAGTAAGGCATAGAACATACAGAACCTCCACCTTCCTCTGTGGGAACTATACATACTTCGTGGCACTTATAAACCAGTGACAACCCACACTTCAGAGCTCAGACATGCCAAGAAAAACGCCACTTTGACCAGCACAGAAGGTGAAACCCTGGGTGTGAGACTGTGAGAAGGTAGACTTGAACTGGGTTCAGAGAAAACTCACCTGCTTTGCAGGGCTGGAGAGAGTTCAGAGGTTAAGAGCACTTGCTCTTCCAGAGGACCCTTGGTTCCTAGGGCCCATGTCAGATGACTCACAACCATTGGAACTCTGCCCGCCTAGGGCCCTGTACTCAGGTGCAGGGATCCACATACAAACACACACATCTCCCTATTGCTCTCGAGGAGTATTCGAGTTTCCACATTTGCAGTCTACTGGGTATTCTAGTCTCTCCTAAAATACCGTTACTGACCTCTTCTCTTCTTTAATTATTGAAAAACATTTGCTGGGAGACTTTTTTTGGTTGTGGATTGGACTCAGGGCTTGAGGGTGCCAGGCAATCCCTCTACCACTGAGCTGCACTGTAAGCCCTAACCAGTTTTGAGACAGGATTTCTTTGTGTAGCCCTGGCTGTCCTGGAACTGTCCTGGCTGTCCTCAAACTCAGAGATCCGCTTGCCTCTGCCTCCTGAGTGTTGGGATAAAGGCATGCGCCAGCACCGCCCGACTATCAGAAGTAGTTAAGTGTATATACTATTGTACAGATCTGTGATAGAAATAACACACCAACGCCTAGCCTGGTGCGACAGCAGAGGTGCCTGATACAGCAGCTACTGCAGCCACACTTTCTTCCTGACCGAGAAAGGCTCACCTGCATGCCATGCTATCGGCACTGACTGTGAGATACAAAAAGTCTCAATTATTTCCCATGTGCCCCTGAGAACCAGTGCTGAGCAGCTCAGAGCTTCATGTCTGACAACCCATCTTCAATGAAACCAGAACCTTCAATGTCAACTGCTCCCATAGGGGAACCTTTATGTCCCTGCCACTCAAAGAATATGTAGAGGATGAGTATACGAATGAAGTGTTCATGTATGGAATACGTATGAGGAGCTAAGGGACATGTGGAAGCACATTGTCACGCAAAGGCTGACATCCTGCTGACTGAGTGGGCGCAGGGGAATGAAGGCTCATCCAGCAAGCCTCTACCGTGTGCTGGAGCTATGTTAGGGCAACTGGGGTTTGCACAGGCTCCTTCCCAACTCACACCCTGAGAGTCAGATCAGGAGCAGGCATGTGTCTCAGGGAGCAGAGCCCAACTCCGGCTGGTAGCCAGCTGTGTGATCTGGGCATGCTCCTGGAACTCTGCAGGCCTTCCTTTCCTTATCTGAATACGGGATCACACCAGATCCTTCATCGGGCAGTTGTGAGAACGTCAGAGTCCGGCACACAAACCGCTGTTACTGCCACTAAGGTGTGTTCATCTAGAAAGAAGGACTCACATACCCTTGCAAACACAGGCACATAAAGGA